GCTACTTGTGTGTTGTGGTGTCATCTGTGTGGTATTAAGGAGCAGAGTCTTCACTTTATCTATGAGAATAGGACATAATCTCTAAATGTGCCAGTGCCTCAAATGAATTAAGTCTTGTGGCTAACAAGTGCAGTGTCAGTTGCCATAAAAAAAAATCCATGCTGTAATGTATTTGAAAGTCCATATATTGAATAGTAGGAACAAGTAACATCCTGTGAACCATCAAACCTTATATATTCTCCAAACAAGGGCATTGATACATTGTGCAGTCCCCATAGCATGTCTCTTTAATTGTACTGTCCTCTCTACACATTTCCCAGTGTGTAACTCGATGTGCACCTAAACCCTCCTATTCTGCAATAAGCCAGACTAAATGTAATCTTGAACCTTTATTAGCAAAACAGGGTGGGGTGGGGTTAAACTATTAGGAAAAACAGATAGAAAGTATATGTAATCAATATACTGCATGAAACATTCAAACACAATGAAACAATTGGCTGTAGATGGCAACAAATTCTTGCTCACCAGCGATACCGCCTTTAGGGGATGCAAGTTTTAGTCCATTACATGTGCTTCAATGGCTAGTTCCTTCTCTCTCAGTTTCTAAGATGGATTCTGAGCTCCACAGATGCATCTGTCTCTTTTTCACAGAATGATGGGAATGTTTATTAACTCTTAGCTCTTATATAAACAGACAGTCTCTAGTTTCTGTAAAACAGTATTTTTTTTTTCAAAATTGTTGGCCTTTTTTCCTAGTAGAAGAAAAAAGAATAATAAAAAAGAAAAAAGTTATTAAAACTCCACTCTTTATTTATATCTAAAAACATTTTTTTAATAAAATTGAGTACATTGTTTTATGATTGAGTAATTGTCAGTGAAACTATCACTGCACTGAAAACTGATAAATGGCCTGGAAATAAAAAGGTAGCTGGTGCTCAAGTGGTTACACTAAACATATAAAGGTGGCCAGAGACCTCTCACCACTGATGACATGCAGGGGTTCTAGGGTCATATATCCCTGGACACACTATAATCTGGGACTGCCCTCTCAAGTAAGTTGGGCCACTCCCACATGGATGCTCTGTCTTAGTACTCTTCTTTCTCCCTATATGTACACAGTCCACATCTCTAGCAGGCCCTTGAGGCCCACTTCTGTACACAGCAACCTATGGATCTTTCTGCTCTCGCTCTTTGTTGCACAGCAGCACACAGCAGGACTGTACTGTCTTCTTGCCACAGCCTCTCTACTCTGCACAGTCCTTGTTCTCTTGCTCACCACACCACACACTCTGCTTGGTAGCCTCGGAACTTAGGTGCCTAGGTCCCTAATGCAGGCTTTCTTCCTCTCCACAACTCCCAGCCACCCTATCACAAATTAGAGTCCTACTTACTGCTTGCCCCCTCCCCTGGTGTCCAACAAAATGTCTGCCATCACTCCTGTACTGAGGACACTTCTTCCTCTCAGCAGGTGCTGTCCATGGCTGGAGAAAATACAATCCTCTATGTCTTCTTCCTCTCCTACTGCTCAACCCAGTGGTGGCAGACAGAAGATTAAGCTGTGGTGTGGCCACGATGCCCAGACTGTGTGGCACCCACCCCTTAATAGGGCTGCCAGCCAGGGCTACACCTGCCCTAAGATTTCTGTTTGTGTTTCTGGGATTTACACAGCTCTGCCACACAATGCGATTTCCCTGCGACTACATTTTTTAAATGGTGCAGAAACCTTTATATTATGGGGAATGTAGGCACAGCAGCCCATTGGACAGCTGAGCAATAATTGGGCAGCTGAGCTTGCGCAAATGTGGGCCGCAAACCCGGTCAAGTCTGATTCTAGCCTTACAGTCCTTGTCCTTTCCCCAGTCCATGACTGGACAGTGCATGAAGAAGTGGTACACTGATGAGCTCATCTCTATGCCACTCCTAGCATGTTCCTTGTACTGCAGTGCTACTGATTAGCATGGACTACAAGAGGCTGACACCAAGTCAAATTCAGATACTTATACCGCTTGCATTTAAGAATTTATTAAAGTGATATTAAACCCTTAATTTTAAGCACTCACAACAGCTGATTTAATTACTGAGTATGCAGCTTCTTTACTGTATCTTTACATTCTTGTCATTTTTAGTTTTAGTTTAAGCTGGTTCCAAAATCACCATCCCAGGTTCTGTTTCAGGGTAGCTCCTTTCTCTTGCAGCATCCTTTGGAATCACCCTTGCATGCAGGAACTAGAGATATAGTTACATAGTTAGTCTGGCTGAAAAAAGACAAAAAGTCCATCCAGTTCGACCATAGGAAAAAAAAAAAAAAAGTTTTAATCCTATACCCACAGTTGATTCAGAGGAGGGCTGCTGATTAGATGCCCAGGGTTCTTTTCCCAATAGTTGCCCCGCAGCCAGTCACAGTCACTGCTTCGGCTCAATGAACAGTCTAGGGCACGGGTGTCAAACTGGTGGTCCTCCAGCTGTTGCCAAACTACAAGTCCCATGAGGCATTGCAAGATTGACAGTTACAAGCATGACTACCAAAGGCAGAGGCATGATGGGACTTGTAGATTCGCAACAGCTGGAGGGCTAGTTCAACCTTTAAAAAAAAAAGTTATAATCCTATACCCACAGTTGATCCAGAGGAAGGCAAAAAAAAAACCCAGCAAAGCATGATCCAATTTGCTCCTGCAGGGAAAAAATTCCTTCCTGATCCCCTGAGATGCAATGGGAAATTCGCTGGATCAACTTTACCTATAAATGTTAGTATCCATTATATTCTGTGTATCCAGGAAAGAATCCAGGCCTTTTTTTAAAGCAATCCACTGAGCTGGCCAGAACCAACTCTTGAGGGTGTCTATTCCACATTTTCACAGCTCTCACTGTGAAGAAACCTTCCCGAGTTTAGAGATTAAATATTTTTTCCTCCACACATAAAGAGTGCCCCCTTGTCCTCTGATGCCCTCAGGGTGAATAGCTCTACACCAAGTTCACTATATGAACCACTGATGTATTTATACATGTTGATCATATCCCCCCTTAATCTCCTCTTCTCAAGAGAGAATAAATTCCGTTCCTTTTTTCTATGTCTCCCTACTCTGTGTGCGTCAATAGAAAAAAACAGCCTAGAATGAAAAGACAGTCCCCTGTTCATCTCTCCTCAACCCCCCACCTTTCTTCAAGGTACGAAACGTGTCTGAGAAACTGCACTGTCCAGTGTTAACTCTTTCCTGTGAAGACTGGAAGTTAAGGAAAGCAACACTGAGGAAGCAGGAACCAGAAGCACTGAAAGTTGTAAACTGCAAGTGCTATGGCAAGAATTAATTTATTAAGGTTTATTTTATTATACTCAGTGTTTTAATTCTACTTTAATGACTACAAAACTGCATTCATCTGTGTCTCATTTTATCTGCCTGGAGTTAATTTTAAATGAAAGGATGCTGAAGCTCACATAACCTGATATATCCTGCCTACATCTTTATTTTAGTGGCACGAAGATGAAATGGGACTGGATTCATATTTTGAATCGTGGCTGAACTAAGCCAAGCCAGTAAAGGTAACTGTCCCATGCTACTATTCTTTTTACAGGATATATTAAGGGAACAATGAACACTGACGGTTTGATAATGGTCCCTGCAGAAAAGGTACAAATGTTTCAGTTCTTATCCTGAAAAACTTTAGAGGATTGAAGACAGTATTGTGAATGAGCCTGTCTGTTTAGGAAGATGGCAGAGAGATGAGTAAGTCTTCACATTTCTCAGCTTCTACAACCGCTAACTGCATAAAGGACCCGAGAAAACAAAGTCTTTCAGACTCACTGGAACAGAAACACACTTTCTAATCCTGCCAGTCTTTTTGTTCCTTTATTGATTTCTGCTTTTCCAAGAATACTCTACATTAACAAATGCTATTTGTTTTCAGATAACTTCATGTATAAGAACTAAAATTCTTACATCAGGACTTGGAAGTTCTCAAACTTTGCGACATAGTTGAGAAAATTGGAGAAAAGATATGGTAAACATCAAGAAGAATTCCTGTGAATTTTGCAAAAGCAACTTTGTTATGAAATGTAGACTGTTATATTTGGTAGCACACTTTTTACAGTATGCAGGCTAATTATGTGTATGGGGGATACCTTTTAAAATAATGACAGTGCCCCCCGCACAGTCTAGCTTTGTGAATAACAAGCTCAGCCCCAGTTGAAGAAGTGAAGGTTGCCAATCATACGATACACACTGAACTTTTTTTATTTAACCTGACCAGAGAAAAACATGCAGACTGCATTTGTCAAGTTCTCCCTATTAAAACTCTGGCCAGTACACTAACATGCCTGATTCAGTATTTCAATATTTTGGGTCACTGACTCAGACGAGGTAGGCAAAGACTTCTGTCTTAACACTCCTGATCTGAATACCTAATCTGGGTTAAAAGCTCTAATAGTCCTGAAGCCAGTTAGTCATCTTCCCGGCTAAGGAACTAGCATTATCAGAAGGACACAGCAATGGTGGTCTTAGTATTTTCTCATGGTAGGTTTGTCTTAAAATGGTTGTAAACTGTTACATATACCCACTGAAATGACAAGACTCAGGTGATACACAGATATGAACTCCTTCACGCCTAAGGATAAAACAAATCTTAAAGCCTAAGTAAAATTTTGCAACTTTGACATGTGTTAGTAAAACCTTACATATCATCACAACTACTTTGTACTTCCTCGTGCATTATACCTTGTTTCTTTTAGGACAAACTGGGCTTTCATTTGGTGGTAAATGGTAATGGATATCCCCTTAACTTTTGTTTATAATCAAAGGAAAACTGGCACAAAATAGTAAAGAAAAATATATATTTTTTAAATGTAGCTGTGTGTTTCTTGTTACTGCCATAACTAGAGATGAGCGAATTATTCAAAAATTCGATTCGACTGATTCGGCGAATTCGTGAAAAAATTTTGATTCGAGTCGAATATATTCTCCGCGAATTTAACTTATAAAAGGGTGTTTCTAGGCTTCAGAGAGCCTTTATATTAGTGCAGAACACTGTACCTTTAATTTAAATGCCCTTGGAGTCTGCTGGGGAAGAGAAATAATACTGACAGTCAGTATGACATGCAGATGAGTGCCGTCGATCTTAGAATCACCGCACACTTCACTCATTTGGGCAGTCACGGGGCCAAAACCAGAGTGTAGAGCCACAGTGTGGCGGTGGAGGCAGCAGCAATGGGAGGCCATACAGCACCCTATGACAAAAATGGAAACCACCAGCAGTGTGAGGAGACCTGAAAGTGGCACATGGCAGAGTGTGGCGATGGAGACAGCAGCAATGGGAGGCCGTACAGGGACCCATGACACACTCTGGACCTGGCAGCAGCATGAGGAGGCGGTACAGGAGCCCATGACAGATTACGGGCCTGGCAGCAGCATGAGGAGTCGGTACGGGGGCCCATGGCAGATTACGGGCCTGGCAGCAGCAATGGGAGGCCGTACAGGGACCCATGACACACTCTGGACCTGGCAGCAGCATGAGGAGGCGGTACAGGGGCCCATGACAGATTACGGGCCTGGCAGCAGCATGAGGAGTCGGTACGGGGGCCCATGAAACACTCTGGACCTGGCAGCAGCATGAGGAGGCAGTACAGGGGCGCATGACAGATTACGAGCCTGGCAGCAGCAACTTGGACAGGAGGACGTTCAGCTTCTGCACCGTCGGGTGCGTGCTCGCAAACTGTTGTCTCTTGGAAACGGATTCCAAGAAAGACTGCTGACGGAATCCGTGAAGAGGAGTAGCAGGAGAAGGAGCATCTGAACGAGCGGAATATGCCAACAAGCGACAACAGGGGCCCATGACAGATTATGGGCCTGGCAGCAGCATGAGGAGTCGGTACGGGGGCCCATGGCAGATTACGGGCCTGGCAGCAGCAATGGGAGGCCCGTAATCTGCCAGCACCCTATGACAAAAAATGGAACACACCAGCAGTGTGTGAGGAGACCTGAAAGTGGCACATGGCAGAGTGTGGCGATGGAGACAGCAGCAATGGAGGCCGTACAGGGACCCATGAGAGACTCTGGACCTGGCAGCAGCATGAGGAGGCGGTACAGGGGCCCATGGCAGATTAGGGGCCTGGCAGCAGCTATGGGAGGCCCGTAATCTGCCAGCACCCTATGACAAAAAATGGAACACACCAGCAGTGTGAGGAGACCTGAAAGTGGCACATGGCAGAGTGTGGCGATGGAGACAGCAGCAATGGGAGGCCGTACAGGGACCCATGAGAGACACTGGACCTGGCAGCAGCATGAGGAGGCGGTACAGGGGCCCATGGCAGATTAGGGGCCTGGCAGCAGCAATGGGAGGCCCGTAATCTGCCAGCACCCTATGACAAAAAATGGAACACACCAGCAGTGTGTGTGAGGAGACCTGAAAGTGGCACATGGCAGAGTGTGGCGATGGAGACAGCAGCAATGGGAGGCCGTACAGGGACCCATGAGAGACTCTGGACCTGGCAGCAGCATGAGGAGGCGGTACAGGGGCCCATGGCAGATTAGGGGCCTGGCAGCAGCTATGGAGGCCCGTAATCTGCCAGCACCCTATGACAAAAAATGGAACACACCAGCAGTGTGAGGAGACCTGAAAGTGGCACATGGCAGAGTGTGGGCGATGGAGACAGCAGCAATGGGGGAGGCCGTACAGGGACCCATGAGAGACTCTGGACCTGGCAGCAGCATGAGGAGGCGGTATACAGGGGCCCATGGCAGATTAGGGGCCTGGCAGCAGCTATGGGAGGCCCGTAATCTGCCAGCACCCTATGACAAAAAATGGAAACACACCAGCAGTGTGAGGAGACCTGAAAGTGGCACATGGCAGAGTGTGGCGATGGAGACAGCAGCAATGGGAGGCCGTACAGGGACCCATGAGAGACTCTGGACCTGGCAGCAGCATGAGGAGGCGGTACAGGGGCCCATGGCAGATTAGGGGCCTGGCAGCAGCAATGGGAGGCCCGTAATCTGCCAGCACCCTATGACAAAAAATGGAACACACCAGCAGTGTGAGGAGACCTGAAAGTGGCACATGGCAGAGTGTGGCGATGGAGACAGCAGCAATGGGAGGCCGTACAGGGACCCATGAGAGACTCTGGACCTGGCAGCAGCATGAGGAGGCGGTACAGGGGCCCATGGCAGATTAGGGGCCTGGCAGCAGCTATGGGAGGCCCGTAATCTGCCAGCACCCTATGACAAAAAATGGAACACACCAGCAGTGTGAGGAGACCTGAAAGTGGCACATGGCAGAGTGGCGATGGAGACAGCAGCAATGGGAGGCCGTACAGGGACCCATGAGAGACTCTGGACCTGGCAGCAGCATGAGGAGGCGGTACAGGGGGCCCATGGCAGATTAGGGGCCTGGCAGCAGCAATGGGAGGCCCGTAATCTGCCAGCACCCTATGACAAAAAATGGAACACACCAGCAGTGTGTGAGGAGACCTGAAAGTGGCACATGGCAGAGTGTGGCTGCGATGAGACAGCAGCAATGGGAGGCCGTACAGGGACCCATGAGAGACTCTGGACCTGGCAGCAGCATGAGGAGGCGGTACAGGGGCCCATGGCAGATTAGGGGCCTGGCAGCAGCTATGGGAGGCCCGTAATCTGCCAGCACCCTATGACAAAAAATGGAACACACCAGCAGTGTGAGGAGACCTGAAAGTGGCACATGGCAGAGTGTGGCGATGGAGACAGCAGCAGCAATGGGAGGCCGTACAGGGACCCATGAGAGACTCTGGACCTGGCAGCAGCATGAGGAGGCGGTACAGGGGCCCATGGCAGATTAGGGGCCTGGCAGCAGCAATGGGAGGCCCGTAATCTGCCAGCACCCTATGACAAAAAATGGAACACACCAGCAGTGTGAGGAGACCTGAAAGTGGCACATGGCATGAGTGTGGCGACACTGGAGGACCTGGGAGGCCGTACAGCATGAGAGACTCTGGACCTGGCAGGATGGCGGTACAGGGGCCCATGGCAGATTAGGGGCCTGGCAGCAGCTATGGGAGGCCCGTAATCTGCCAGCACCCTATGACAAAAAATGGAACACACCAGCAGTGTGTGAGGAGACCTGAAAGTGGCACATGGCAGAGTGTGGCGATGGAGACAGCAGCAATGGGAGGCCGTACAGGGACCCATGAGAGACTCTGGACCTGGCAGCAGCATGAGGAGGCGGTACAGGGGCCCATGGCAGATTAGGGGCCTGGCAGCAGCTATGGGAGGCCTAATCTGCCAGCACCCTATGACAAAAAATGGAACACACCAGCAGTGTGAGGAGACCTGAAAGTGGCACATGTTTGGGGCATGATTCATGGCGGATTTAGTCAGTTGTGTCAGGAACTGGTGGTTTGAAATCCAGACTAATCCACGCCTGATTCATTTTCACAAACGTGAGTCTCTCCACACTTTGGGTGGACAGTCGTGTCCTCCGCGGAGTTACAATACCTCCTGCCGCACTAAACACGCGCTCCGATGCCACGCTACTGGCCGGGCATGACAGCCTTTCAAGGGCAAATTCAGCTAGTTGGGGCCAAAGGTCAAGTTTCGTTGCCCAGTAGTCAAGGGGATTGTCTACCTCGGTTGGCAGGGTGCTGTCCAAGTAGGCCCAAGCCTGTTGTTTGAGGTCCTGCTCCAGGTCCACCTGATGCTGCTGCTGCTGCGGCTGGTTAGTAGTTTCCTCACTGCGCTGGTGAAGAAAGCTACTCATCATCGACTGCAGACTGAGGCAGCCGCTGCTGGTGGAGAGCTGCCACTGCCACTGCTCCTACCACCCCACCCCACCCCTCCCCTGCTGCCATGGCAGCGGAACGAGCGCACAGGGCCCACAGTGTCTGAGGATGGACGTTGGCGCAGCAAAGGCAGAGACCAACTGACTACATAGGTGGTTTTTATAGTACGTTATTTTGGCCTCCCTCTCAGCAGGTGTGAAAAAGGCCACCATTTTTGAACGGTAGCGAGGGTCCAACAAGGTGGACAGCCAAAAGTCATCCCTCTGTCTGATGGTTATTATTCGGCTGTCGCTACGCAAGCAACCGAGCATGCTATGGGCCATTTGTGCCAAGGAATGCGAGGGACTCCCTGCCTCCATCTCCACAGCATACTGCCACGGTGCGTCTGGGTCCTCTGTCTGTCTCCTCCTCCTCCTCTACCAGATGCTCCTGCTCCTCCACTCCTGTCCGCTGAGTGGAAAAACCACCCATTTCACTCAATAATTCCTGAGCACAAATGTCCTCCCTCTACCTCCTCCTCTTCTTCCTGTCCTGCCCCCACAGGGGTCATGTGGCGTTGAGATCTGTGCGCCACGTCTACCGCACCCTGACCAGCCATTGTTAACAGCATTTGTTCCAGGACGTGCAACAGAGGAATGACGTCGTTCATCCCATAGTCCTGCCGACTCACGAATAGCGTGGCCTCCTCAAAGGGCCTGAGCAAGCGGCAGGTGTCACGCATGAGCTGCCAATGGCTGACATCGAAGTTACACAGGGGAGTACCTTTATCCGCTTGTAACATCAGGAAATCGGTGATGGCCTTTCGCTGTTCGTAAAGGCGGTCTAACATGTGTAGGGTTGAATTCCACCTTGTTGCAACGTCGCAGATCAGGCGATGCTGTGGAATTCCGTTCTGCCGCTGCAGCTCAAGGAGGGTGTGCTTTGCGGTGTAGGAATGGCTGAAATGCATGCAAAGTTTACGTGACATTTTAAGGATGTCTTGCAGTGGGATGGTGGATTTTAGGAACCGCTTGACAACCAGATTGAACACGTGAGCCATGCATGGCGCATGGCACAACCTTCCTTGACGCAGAGCAGACACCATGTTCTTTCCGTTGTCGGTCAACATGGTTCCGATTTTCAGTTTGCGCGGAGACAGCCATCTGTCGATTTCTCTGTTCATTACACTGAGAAGTTCCTCCCCTGTGTGACTACGTTCGCCAAGGCATACCAGGTGCAGCACAGCGTGACACCGTTGCGCCCTGCACATGTGATATGCCGGTCGGGTAATGGGACTTGGCACGGGGGGGTGGCGGCTGAGGACACGGCGGAAGAAGAGGTGGTAGAGGCGGACATCTTTGCCGGACCAAGGACGTGCAAACGTGGAGGCAAAAGCGGCGTGACCTGTCCAAGTTGCTGGTGCGGCTGTGACGGCACCACGTTCACCCAGTGGGCCGTAAATGACATGTACTGTCCCTGACCGTAGTTACAGCTCCACACGTCGGCGCTGCCGTGCACTTTGGCAGAGACCGACATGCTCAAAGACTGGCCCACCATCTCTTCTACATGTGAATGCAGGGCTGGCACTGCCTTTTTGGCGAAGAAATGACGGCTTGGCACTCTCCACCGCGGCGCGGCACAAGCCATCATTTCTCGGAAAGGTGCTGAGTCCACCACTTGGAAAGGGAGGGACTGCAGCACCAGCAACTTGGACAGGAGGACGTTCAGCTTTTGCACCGTCGGGTGCGTGCTCGCAAACTGTTGTCTCTTGGAAACGGATTCCAAGAAAGACTGCTGACGGAATCCGTGAAGAGGAGTAGCAGGAGAAGGAGCATCAGAACGAGCGGAAGATGCCAACGAGCGACAACTCCCCTCAGCAGAGGTGTTGGAGCCTTGACTGGCTGATAGAGGGCGATTGACGTCGGGTGACGGAGCAAGTAACGGAGCGGGTGATGGAGCGGGGGCTGGGGCAGGCAGAACCGCCGTATCTTTATCACGGTTTTCCCAGGCCACCAAATGGCGACGCTGCATATGCTGCCGCAACGCTGTAGTCCCAACATGGGCCCCCTGGCCACGCTTGACTTTCTGGCCACATAGTCGACATACGGCTACGTTTACTTCCTCGGGCGGCTTGACAAAAAATTGCCACACCGCCGAGTAGGAAACTTTGCCCCCGATACTCCTCACTGGCTGACTGCTGCTTCCTCCGTGCACACCGGCACCACTACTGGCCGTGGTGGTAGGCTGCAGTGGAGCTGGTGCTCTACTCCGTGGCCGTTTGCCTCCACTGACACTGCTGCGACCCTGCTGCCTCCTGGGCAACCCACCGACTGTTTTGCTCGCTGCCAAGCTGCCACCCTCTTCTCCTGATGATGCGGAAGCAATAGCCTGATGACGACGAGGCTGCCAAGTGCGATCAGCCTCATCATCATCAATTAGGGTCTCCGCCTCACTACTAGCCCCCTCGGCTGCGTGTGGGTCAGGAGACAGACCTGTCTCTAGACCGGCTACCGAGCCACTCTCCTCGCCACTACTTCTTCGCCTGGCTGCTGAAGAGGCGGATGTCTCCCCCCGTTCCTGACCGCCCTCTGTTAGCTCTTCCTCACTGTACAGTGGGGCTGAGCCCACAGCATGCGATACTTCGCTTGGTGAGGGAACACCAAAGGACAGGGGCAGGTAGAGGACACGTGATTTCAGTGGGCTTGCTCCCGGGCCATGCCAACTAACGGTTGTGTCTGACGTACCCACCGACCGTTGGCTGTAGGTGTCAGAGGTGACCTGGGAAGAGGAAGACGACCGAGCCAACCAATCGATGACCTGGCCTCTGGCTGCGACTAGTGCTGCCTCGACCCCTTCCTCTGCTGCCACGTCTGCTCGCTCCTAAAACATTGCCTCCTCTGCCACTCCTATGCATGTTGTCTGACAAACTCTTTAAATTAAACGATTCTGTGTCCCTGAGTAACAATTCTGTGTCTGTCCCTGAGTAACAATTCTGTGTCCCTGAGTAACAATTCTGTGTCCCTCAGTAACAATTCTGTGTCCCTGAGTAACAATTCTGTGTCCCTGAGTAACAATTCTGTGTCCCTGAGTAACAATTCTGTGTCCCTCAGTAACAATTCTGTGTCTGTCCCTGAGTCACAAATTCTGTGTCTGTCCGCTGAGTAACAATTCTGTGTCCCCTCAGTTTAACAATTCTGTGTCCCTCAGTAACAATTCTGTGTCCCTCAGTAACAATTCTGTGTCTGTCCCTGAGTAACAATTCTGTGTCTGTCCCTGAGTAACAATTCTGTGTCTGTCCCTGAGTAACCAATTCTGTGTCCCTGTCCCTGAGTAACAATTCTGTGTCCCCCTCTGAGTAACAATTCTGTGTCCCTCAGTAACAATTCTGTGTCCCCAGTAACAATTCTGTGTCTGTCCCTGAGTAACAATTCTGTGTCTGTCGCTGAGTAACAATTCTGTGTCCCTCAGTAACAATTCTGTGTCCCTCATAACAATTCTGTGTCCTGTCCCTGAGTAACCTGTGTCTGTCCCTGAGTAACAATTCTGTGTCTGTCCCTGAGTAACAATTCTGTGTCCCTGAGTAACAATTCTGTGTCCCTCAGTAACAATTCTGTGTCCCTCAGTAACAATTCTGTGTCCCTCAGTAACAATTCTGTGTCCCTCAGTAAACAATTCTGTGTCTGTCCCTGAGTAACAATTCTGTGTCTGTCGCTGAGTAACAATTCTGTGTCCCTAACAATTCTGTGTCCCTCAGTAACAATTCTGTGTCTGTCCCTGAGTAACAATTCTGTGTCTGTCCCTGAGTAACAATTCTGTGTCCCTCAGTAACAATTCTGTGTCCCTGAGTAAACAATTTCTCTGTGTCCCTCAGTAACAATTCTGTGTCCCTCAATAACAATTCTGTGTCCCTCAGTAACAATTCTGTGTCCCCTGTCCCTGAGTAACAATTCTGTGTCCCTAAGTAACGTTTCTGTGGCCCTAAGTAGTAACGGTTCTGTGGCCCTCAAGTAACAAATCTGTGTCCCTCAGTAACAATTCTGTGTCTGTCCCTAAGTAAACAATTCTGTGGCACTAAGTAACGTTTCTGTGGCCCTAAGTAAAGTTTCTGTGGCCCTAAGTAACGATTCTGTGGCCCTAAGTAACGTTTCTGTAGCCCTAAGTAACGTTTCTGTCTCCCTAAGTAACGTTTCTGTGGCCCTAAGTAACGGTTCTGTGTCCTTCAGTAACAATTCTGTATCCCTCAGTAACAATTCTGTGTCTGTCCCTGAGTAACAATTCTGTGTCCCCTAAGTAACGTTCTTTTCTGTGGCCCTAAGTAACGGTTCTGTGGCCCTCAGTAACAAATCTGTGTCCCTCAGTAACAATTCTGTGTCTGTCCCTAAGTAACAATTCTGTGGCACTAAGTAACGTTTTCTGTGTGCCCTAAGTAAAGTTTCTGTGGCCCTAAAGTAACGTTTCTG